TTAACTCATATTTGACAATGTTAATGTGTCCAAGAATCTGAAAGTAGATAGGTTATGTGTGCATTTTTCGTTGTAGTTTGGTGGTGTTTTTTTTTTGTTGTTGTTGTTTTTTAATTAAAAGAAAGAAAATGCAGTTGGGTATGTAGAGAGGTGAGAAGGGTCAGGGAGGACTTGGGGGAAGGGAAAGAATATGATCAAAATATAGCATTTGAAAAAACTTTAAAATGAAGTGTGATGGGGGATGACTGGGATGAGGGCAGGGAGGGGATGCTGTGGTCAGGGCGCAGTGTATGGGAAGAGAACAAATTATAAATAACTAAAGAAACAAATAATGTAAAGAATATTTTATGTGCATGGATGTTTTGTCAGCATGTATATCTGTGTAAAACACACACACACATATACATATATATGTATATACATACATATATATATATATATATATATATATATATATATATATATATATATACACCTCGTGTCCCTTAGAGGCCACCAGGCTCCCTGGAATTGAGGTTAGATGTAAGCTCCCATGTGGTACTGGGAATTGAACCCAGGTCATGTGGAAGAGCATCCAGTGCTTTTAACTGCTGAGTCATATCGTTAGCCCTAGTTGTACTTTCTGACGTGTGCATATTCATCTATAAGATTAAACCTCCAGAAGGAAGGTTATTGTTTCAGAGAGTAATTCCTATCAGGTAGGGTCTAATTCTCCTCTGTAGAGATTGTAGCATTTTATACCATCATTATTAATGATATTTGAATACTATTTATGTGTGTGTGTGTGTGTGTGTACATGTCTGTATGAGTGTATGTCACATGTGTTCAGGTACCTACAGAAGCCAGAAGAAGGTACCAGATCTCCTGGAACAGGAGTTACAGGTGGTTGTGAACTACCTGGTATGAGTGCTGGGAACCGAACTTAGGTCTTCTGCAAGAGCAAGTGCTCTTAACCATGTAGTCATCTCTTCAGCTCAACACTTCAATTCTTAACATCAAATATCAAAATAAAAGGTTCTATGAATTTGTCTTGCAGTTCTGAAGGAGGTTCTATTTCTACAGAAGTCAGTAAAATAGAAGGATAGGGATGATGCACACTTACTGTTAAGAAGCTTACATAGGCTAAAGCCCATCCATGATGTTGTGCTGAGGCCCATCTCCATACTGGGATTTATGTGTTGTGTCCTAGATGTGTGTCATCACTGCAATGTAACAGGGTCCTTCCTATAACTAGTGATGTGATATGCTGTCCTTTGGGGTTGGCACTGGTGGGTTGGAGCAGTGATAGGGTAGATGGTATAGGGTGTGACTCAGGAGAAGTCACTGTGCAGAACTGATTATGACAGAGAAGCAACTCCTGAGCCTTTTGGTACCACTGTAAGATTTTGAACAATAGTTAGGAGAGTGTTTAATACACAATAGGCTTCAACACTAAGTTTTTTCTTTGCTTTTCTGAAAACAGCCAAGAATTAAGAAGGAAAATCACAAGGGCTTCCAAAGAGGATTTATGTCACAACGTCTATATAGTAAAACCACCTTACAATACCCCAAAAGCTCTTAGAATATATTTAGAATTAATTTACATGTAATTGGAACATGTTTTGTTGTTTAGCTTTCAGTCTACATAGTAGTAGAAGCATAGGATCAAACTGTTAACTGACTGAATTATAGAAAGTAACGGTTAAAACAAGAGATTAGGGAAAAGGTACACTAGTACCTATAATAAAGGTACTTAGTAAGTCTAGGCAGCCTGTTAGCACAAGCCCATCTTAAAGCCAAGCTGTCAAGAAAGGGTTAACTAGATAGGGAAGATGGACAAAGTGAAAGTGGGTGTTAAAGCACGTGCTTAGCCTGTATGAGGTCTTGAGTTCAATCCTTAGTACCAAAATAGCAAATTAAAGACCTCAACTTAAAAGGTTAACTGTAGCCCTATATATTGAAAGCAGGCCAATGAATAACATTTTTTTTCTTTTCTCTTTACAATTTACATAAAGGGTTGAATTGTCTCTGTAACACTCCAGTGATTTTATAAAGATTTACATAATGAAATATAAACTCTAATTTTTGTTAACACGATTTTAAATCTTAGTCACCAAGAAAAGTAGTCATTAACTCTTTCTTCTATTCAATGCCCATGTGCTCAGTACTGATAAGTGCTAAACATACACAGAATATTTAACTGACCTAAAATTCTAGGTTAAAAAAATGCACCTTCCACCAAACAGTCCAAACTCATATTAATCTTTTAGTAAGCCTCTGTGATAGGTTTATTATCACTGTAACTGATTTTAATTTTAGAGTCTTCTGGATTGGAGAATATATGCCCCCCCTTCTAAAAAAGACAAAAAGATAAAACTGTTGAACCAGCAATTACAAAATTGAAACCACTTGAAAAGACTGAATCATGTATGCACTTGAAACTTCAATTTGACACTTTTTGACTCATTGTCTCTTTTGTCAGTCTTCGCAAGCATAAATTACTTAGCTAATTTCACTAGTAGATTCTGTTCTTTCAGAGCACAGAGAAATAAGAATCATAAATACATCCTTACTCCCTGCTTTTGTATCTCATTTCATAGTCCCAGATTTAAATAAAGGAAATATATTTAAAAGTACAAATTAATTGCATTTATCTCCTGGAATTATTTCAAAATGCTTTCTTTTATTAATGCCAATAAATCTATTTAATGGAGTTTAACTAGATATATGTTGGGGTACAAATGTAACAGTAACAGTAAGGGCAACACTAACACAGGCAGTTAGTTACCATTTGTTTACTGCCTATGTGGTATCATGTTGAAAGCTTTGAATAGATTATTACTGAACACGTTTTCAAAGAAGGCATATATTCTATGATATAAAGCTATCAACTGAAGTTTAAAGAGATTATCTGGTTTACATTATTCACATTACCACTTTAATGAAACTAGAATTCAGGTCTGAGCAACTGTATTCAACCCAGTGTTTAAGGTGTTATTTCATTGGTTGTTCCTTTTTTCTTCTTAAAAAGATTTATTTATTCTTATGTGTATGGGTCTGCATTTATGTGCACTTATGTCTGCATGAAGATGCCAGGTCCCCTGAGACTAGGTTAGAGACAGTTGTGAGTTGCCATGTGTGTGTTGAGAAGGGAACCCAGGTCTTCTGGAAGAGCAGTCAGTTCTCTTAACCAATGAACCATTTCTTCAGCCACCAAGGTGTTATTTCAACTCCAGCAAAGAAAGTCTTTCACCTATATGCACAAATAATATTTTACCTGTTAGTGCTGTTTTATTACCATAGAAAGTAAAAGGATTAAACTATAGTAAGAAGTAAAAGATGCAGTTATATAATTTCTTTCAAAAAGTAGATTATAGAATCACTTTCTATAATGTGTGGGTAAAATTCTTTAGTTTTTCAGATTTTATACGTTTTATTGTGGCATGATATACTCATGAAAACTTGTGTTCTGCAATAGGATATTCTCTTCTTTCCAAGTCACTCTAAAAACTTAAGTAGATCTATAGGGTTAAATGTCATAAGTTGTCAAAGTAGCTCTTTTCTTCAGGACCTCAATGCTATAAACATATTATCTATTTGTCTTAGCATTCCAAAAACAAAACAAGATGAAAAACAAAAGAACCCATTATTGCCATTATTAGATTTGTTGAACAATAATTGGGTTAAAAAAATCTACAGAGTTTGATGAGAAAATCCCAGTGTTTTCTTTTTCATCCTTTCTCTTCAAAATATTCATTTCAACTCATCACTAACAACCAAGTACTTTGCTGTATTCCACTGAAAGAGCATTGTAATTCAAATCCATTCAGTGCTGCCTCATTTATACAATTTGTTAGTGAAACTCAAATCCTCTGCACCTATTTTAATGATATAGCACATTAATAACATTTTCACTCATTTAAAGCCATGTTTACTAACAGAGCCTTAACACCCCCCCAAAAAAAAAAAACTGGGAAAGACAAGTTTCACACATTCAAATTCCCTGAACAAGTAATTGATACATACAGCTTAAAGCTTTTTTTCAAATGAAGGTCTCTATCACGCTTTAAAAAATGTAGGTAGAAATATGTTTGTGCAGAAAACACTCAAGGTCACAAGATGTCCATTCAGTTCTTGCTACAACAGGAAAGAGGTGACCAGGTTGATTTCTAGCTAAATTTTGCCTAGAATTTTCTTAAGGGAAAGTTGGAAACTTTATTACAAAAGATGAGAAAGTTATCAAGTGACAGGAAAATCAGGGGGTCAGTAAAGATGAAGGTGCCTAAACAGAAGTGAGAATCAGTAAGTTTGTGGACTCTATACTGATTTATGTAATTTTTTTTTAAAGAGGCCCTCAAAATAAGAAAATAACACGGATTAAGGGGGGGGGGGAACCCAGCCAGAGGTGAGACACAGCCATTTTCATGGGGGGGAGGGAGGTGTCTAACTACACAATGAGGTCATCCTATCTCCCGGAAGTGACAAGTAATCACCTGCTTTTCACTAGCTCCTCCCCTTCCCTCAGAGGTCCCGCCCCTCTGCCCGCAGCCGGGAGGGTGTTAGGGGGCGTTTCTCCCAGAGCAAAGCTGAGAGCTGCAACGCAGAGGAAGGGGACCCCAAAACGCCAGGCACTGCCTCCTCCAGGGAACACTTTGGACCGTCTCACTCAGCCCAGCGGGATTCTGAAACGCCGAGGGGTCAACCTGATGGGTTTCAGGGTCAACGGAAGAGGGGAAGGGGAGCCCTGGCGGGGAGAACCCCCCGGCCCCCCGCCCAGCAGCTGAGGCACAGGAGGGCGGCCATCTTGGCCGGTAGGGTAGGGCCAGGAGGCTGCGGGCGCCGTGCGATTGGGGGGCTCGCCCGGAAGTGACGCCGCCCGCCCGGAAGCGGAGGGGGTTCCCTGGCCCACTCCCCCCGTTCGTCTGCTCCCCGCTTCCTCCCCGCCCCCCTTCCTCTCCATTCGTTCCCCCCCTCCCCGGTCCCTGCCTTCTCCCCCCACCCATCCCTCCCCCCCAACCTCCGGAGCTGGGAAGAGAGTCAAGATGGCGGCGAAATCCGATGGCGGTGGCGTGGGGGTGGGCTTCGCCCAGCTGCACAACCTGGACGAGGCGGTGGGCAGCGGCGAGGAGGACGGGGAGCCCGGGGGAGGCGGCTGCGGCGGCGGCGACGGCAGCGAGCCCGGCGAGAGCAGCTCGCTGCACATCTGCCACTGCTGCAACACCTCCTCGTGCTACTGGGGCTGCCGCTCCGCCTGCCTGCGCTCGCTGCTGGGCAAGAAGCCGCGCCGCAGCGCCGCCGCCGCCGACGGGGGGGACCAGCCGCTGCAGCCGCCCGGGGCCGCCGGCCGCCACCCCCCGACGCCCTCGGCCGGCCGACCGCAGCCCGCGTCGCCGCAGGTGGAGCGACCGTGGCTTGACTGCCTGTGGATCGTGCTAGCGCTGCTGGTGTTCTTCGGGGACGTGGGTACCGACCTGTGGCTGGCCCTCGACTACTACCGCAAGGGGGACTACGGCTGCTTCGGACTGACCCTGTTCTTCGTGCTGGTGCCGTCGCTGCTGGTGCAGAGCCTGAGCTTCCGCTGGTTCGTGCAGGACTACACGGGCGGCGGGCTGGGCGCCGTGGAGGGGCTCAGCAGCCGGGGACCCCCAATGATGGGGGCCGGCTACGGCCACGGCGCGGCCCGCGGCGGCCCGGGTGCGGGGGGCTCGGCCACCCCGGGGGCGCAGCGTCTGTGCCGCCTCTCCGTGTGGATCTGGCAGTCGGTCATCCACCTGCTGCAGATGGGGCAGGTGTGGAGGTAAGAGCACTGCGGGGTAGGGGGCAGGGGGCAGGGGCTGCGGCCGCGCGCCGGCCCCTTGAACGCTCTGGGCTAGGCTGAGCAGGGTAGCCGCGCGCTGTCTTAGCATCTCGCGACGGTCAATAGGTTGCCTGGCCACGCCTTTTGCCCGGGGGAGGCCCTAGGTCCCGCTGTTTGTCCATCTACGTCCCTGGGTTGCACTTGGAGGAGACCCTGTCTCTACCCTCCCGCCTCTCCTCTGCAGACCTCCATCCTGGTTGCCCCTTTTCCCGCTGTGTCCCAAGGTAACTGGCGCTCCTTTGCATCCTGGAGGAGAACTGGCCTCCTTCAGCCGGTTGCCCCCTACCCCCATTCCCCCCGAGGGACATTTCCTTTCTTTCCCCCCCTTTCCACCCCCCCTCCCGTTTTCTCTCTGCAGTGGCCGGTGTGGGGCCCTGTGGAAAAAAACCTTAGCTGCCTCTTCTTAAAGCACTCCTTCCTTTCACGCCCCTCCTCCTCCTGCAACCCCAGCCCCTGCAAACACCGCTGTTTCACACCGGTGCCCTCCTTGAAGGAAAAAAAAATGAATAGATGTGCCCTTTTTGCAGTGACAGGGAAAAAATGAGATGGTATCTAATGGCAGCAAGCGTTTGATGTTAACTCTCACCTCTGGAAAATCACTGAGCCACTTGGGCACCTATTCTGTTTTTAATGGCCAGGCCTATATGATTTCTGTTTACATCCAAGGTGCAAGCCTGTGGCCTCAAGGCCCTTTTCCCTCCTCTGTAAAGTCCTAGTGTGTCAGGTTGGTCTCTCAAAACCACTTGCCAAGGAACCTTAATTGTCTACCTCACTGTCTAACCACATAGAGTATCTTACTGACTGGCTACCCTACCTTCTGCCTCATTAACTGTCTACCTCACTGACCCCCTCACTGCCTGATTGCTTCACTTTTTTCATCACGGCCTCTGACTACATTAACTCTTTACCTCACTGATTACCTTCCTTGTCTACCTTACTGCCTCACTGTCTACCCCACTGCCTGGCTCCCTCACTGATTGCCTGTTTACATCAGATTCATTGACTTCCTATACAGTCTGCCTCACTGACTATCTTACTGATTTCCCCTCATTGACAGGCTACCTCACCAACTGGCTACTCCACTGCCTCCCCTCATTGTCTGCTCCACTGACTGGGTACCTCACTGGCTACTTCACGATTTACCTTTCCCACTACCTGGCTACCTCACTAGCTCATCACCTGGATTTCTTCTCTGTCTGACTACACTGACTGGTTGCTTCCCTGGTTCCATCATTAGCTCACTACCTTCTCTGTTTATCTCCCTGTCTACCTCATCGTTCACCTCACCGATTACCTTCAGGGCTTACCTAACTGCCTGACTGCTGCTGTTTACGTCACTCTCACACTGTCTGCTGACTGTCTCAGAGTCTACCACTTATTATCTATCTCTGTCTACTTATGGACTACCTCACTATGACTGCTTCACTAAACCGATTACCTTCACTGTCTGCTCACTGTCTCGCTCTCTGCCTCACTGATTACTGTTGCTGTTTTCACCGACTGTCTCTCTGTTTACCTCAGTGCTTCCTACCTCACTGTCTACTTGAATGTCTGCTGGTTGTCTCCCTGTCTCCTGACTGCCTGACTGACTGCTTTAACTGTCACTGGTTACCCCAAGAAACCATGGAAACCTTAGTCACTCTGTGTCCTCTGACTTAAACCTGCTTTAGCGTGTTCTGGATCCTGTGACTTTGCCAGTGACAGCATTTGTAAGGGAAACAATTTTTAAGTAGAGCCTATACAGGGATGAATCCTTTCAGTACATTTCCTCTGAGGAGATTGCCCTAGACTGTCTTCTATGCCAAGTAGATTTTAGGCCTCAGTATCTCAGCTAATAAAGCTGTGTTCCAGTTAGATGTAAGAAAGTTTGTGCTTTGAATATTTTCTTCATATCTCTATTCTGTATCTTCAGAACATCTCAGCAAGCGTGGGATTAAATTAAAACATTGTCCTCCAGAGCTGACATGTAGAGTCAGAAGAAGTGAGAGTGGGTCTTGATTTCTCTGCTCTTCCCACGATTGTTGACTGGTGTTCCTAGGTTCATCCCAGTGACCATTACTCCAGCTGCATTCATCTGCAGATAATTTGTTTCCTGCTGATAAAAAATTTACAAACAGGAGGATGAATGTTTAGTTACGAAGCATAGCTGATGCCAAAAGAACATTTTCAAAATAAGTCTTAAAGTCTAAAATTTTAACCCTTTCCCTAAATAATTCCATGCTGATTCAAAATGTGTTTGAATACAGTTTCAGTCTGTTGGAGGCTGGTATGAACAGTGAGGGGAGACAGGCAAAAAGTATGAGAACTGTGAGCAGGGGTTTTGTGCAGCATGTATGTAATACCTAGGCATCTGTTTGAACAAGCTGAAGTTACTGGTTTCCTTGTCGCATGCATGTGAATGTGGGCAGTGAGGATGTTGGTGTCACGTTAAATTTTCTGAGAGCATTAATTCTAATGTGACCCATCCCATTAGTTGGAAGTGAGCTCTTGTGACCATTGAAGGTAAAATTCAGCTTCAGTCAGTCTTAGTGTCAGTATAATCCCATCTCCCATTTAGCCAAACTTAATTGTGATGTGCAAAGTTCAGTCCACGTTTTGGGACAAACTAGGAAGTGTAGATTTAGCTTTTAGAATTTAAATGGGATGCTGTATTTTCCCCTCACCCCCACCCCCCATTTAACTTTCCAGAGTCTTCACTGCAAAGAAATTTCAGAAGATGCCTGTGTTTTTACTATGTCTAACTTTCAGATTGGAATTTATCTTTATGTAACTCACAGAGTTAGAATATTAAAAGACAGACTAATTCAGCAAAGCTGTTTCATCTTTATTGTTGCATTTTAGAGGCAGTATTAACTGAGGAAAGATTTTCATTTTTTATTTTTGGACTGACTTTGCTTGAAATGCTCCAAGAACAAGGCCTGCTCATTAATACCTGCTAGGCATGTTGCTTGCATTGAAACCATTCACATGGAAGAGCTTGTGAGAAAGGTTTTCAGTCTTTTCTTGTTTTTACCTCTTGGCAAATGGTTGCTTGTCAACATATATAAGCACACATTGACTCAGTCCTTTACTGCAGGTCTTTGGAGTTCTAGTTATTTCCTGTATCACATTTGTGACCTAAATTGTGCTATTTCCTGTGGTCACATAGCATCCAGCTTAAGGTTAGGAAATCCATCATTTGATTTGGGCCATGTTTCTAAGAAAAGATGTCAGTGAAGTTGTACATTGTCAAATCCAATCCCATTAAACATTGAATAGTTGCTTCTCTCCCTTCTTTTTGCTTCCTGTTTTAAAATGTAAAATTCAAGAAGTCTGCTTGGAGAGAACATGGTGTCTGTTTAAGAATATGTAGTTGCTCCTTGTGATGTTTTTCCTGTCAAGATGGCACACACTTGACATCTCTGTCATTCCAAGCCCAGGTGGCACAAGGAAAAGTAGTTGTGTCTTAGTTAGGGCTACTGTTGCTGTGATGAAACTTGGTGAGGAAAGGCTTATATGTGCTGAATGATAGTCCATTGAGGAAACCAAGGTAAGAACCTAGGGTCAGGAGCTAATGAAGGAAGAGGCTTTGGAAGAATGCTGCTGCCTGGCTTTCTCAGCCCACTTTCTTGCTTACTTTTTTTTTTTTTTTCCTTCTTTCTCTTTTGAGACAGGATTTCTCTGTAACAGCCCTTGGCTGTCCTGGAACTCACTTTGTAGACCAGGCTGGCTTTGACCTCTCAGAGATCTTCCTGCTTCTGCCTCCCAAGTACTGGGATTAAAGGTGTGAGCCACCATGCCCTGTCTCAGCCTGCTTTCTTATAGCATCCACAATTGGCTGGGTCCTCCCATGTCATGAATTAAGAAAATGTCCTATTGGCTTGCTTGCCACCTCAATAGCCAATCAAGGCAGTTTCTCATTTGAGGCTCCCTGCTCTCATATAACCATAACTTATGTCAAGTTAACATAAAACAAGCCAGCCCATGTTGTTTTGAAGTGATTTGGTATGGTGGACCTGCTTTTGGGGCACATCAGAATGTGATTGAGGTCTGTTTAGTCCAAGCTTTCCTGGCCCTAATTGCTGAAGATGTAGCTTCTGGGTGTAGCTCTGTGTGTGCTGTTCTTCAGGTGCTTCTCTCTGGGGATAATGGGTGTGTGAGTCAGTCCTAGGGACAAGTCACTCCAGACTCTACTTCACAGCCCAGCAAGCTGGTGTTAGAAAGTGAGACAATTTTCTTGGAGGCTCTGGCACTCTGAACTGTGTGATAGAGTTGGCATGTCTGTTGTCGGTGCTGAAGTCTTTCCTCAGCATCTTGGTCTTTGCATTTGGCTCCACCTTCAGAGAGTGCCCAGTGGAGGTTGTGTAAAGAAGAGTGTCGACTGCATGTTAGTTTTGGAGGGACAAACAAAGGTGGATAAGCGTGCTTTGTGTTGCCTCAGTGCCTGGTTAGAGTTGGAGATGAAGGGCATGGGATTCTTGCTGTCAGCCAGGGTGAGCACTTACTTGTGTAACTGCTGAGATTGTGGAATGACAGTGAAAAAAAGATTGAGAAATTACTAGATAAGAAATACATCAAACTGTGTCTTATACATGTTTCATCCAATTTAAAACTTGAACATTTTACAGATGGAGAGGGGTCAGAAGGATTATGTAATCTGTGTTACTGGTCTCCACTGGTGGAGAGAAGTTTTGGCACTGTCTTAATAATGGCAAAGTTGGTCCCACTTTTCTCCACTGTGGGATTCTTCTCTCTGAGCAAAGACCATGATAGCTGGCATGGTGCCCTCAGTGACTTTGCTTCCTGAGAGTCTGCTCTTCTAAGTAGTCAGAAGTAGGATTATAGTACTCTTGAGGCTCTGGGACCCCTTGGTAGATGAGCTGTAGTTCTCTGACACCCTGCTCTTTTAGTCTGATGCTTTAGATCCCGTTGGAATTGAGGCAGTTCAACTCTTGTAGCTG